TAACTAACAAAAAAATGAATCCTCTTAAGTTCTTTTATACTATTCATTGCATTGTGTAGGGACACACACAGTTGTGTTCAAACACCCCAAATGACACTATTCAGCCTTTTTATTGTGGAAGCCAAGTAGACTAAGTGGAAGAAAGTAATCTGTACCATGTAATTGCAGAGAGTCTTCAAAAGGCAGTCTAATCATGTGCATCTATATCAGAAAGTTGGTTGTTCTAAAATAAACTTGGAAAGCAAAACTTTTATTTTCTCCTTAAATATGTCTGTACTTCCAAACAACTATGATGTAAGCAATATTAATGATATTTGGTTCCTTAGAAAGTTGTGTAAACATTAACTTTTTTTTTAAAGACTATTCTTTAGACAGTTTTAGATTCAGAGCAAAATTAAGAGGAAAGTAGTTTTGCCATGTACCTCCCAGCCCCTGCACATGGTTAACTCTTCTTTCTTAGCTATTATTTAGGTACGTTTCTTTCTTTTAGCCGAACATTTTACTACGGGAAACTTTTAAGCATATGCAAAAACAGAATAGTACAATTCACCTCATGTATCCATCACCCAGTTAACCATTAAATAATGGCCAGTCATGTATCTTCTTTATGCCCACATACTTGCTGCCCCTCACTAGGTTATCTTGAATTACAAGTGAAAAATAACAGTACTTCCTCAGTATCATCAGCTAGTTATTCAAAAAATTCCTCAGTTGTGTCCTGGCTGCTTTTGTTACAACGGTTTCTTTGATCTCTATCTAAACAAGATCTATGGGTTGTTATTTGGTTAGACAACTCTTAGAGGTTATTAATCTATACTTTCCCTCTTTCTATTGATTAGTTGAAGAAACCAGGTTATTTGTTCTGTAGATTTTCTCACTGTCTAGCTTTTTCGGATTGCATCCTTCTGGTGTCATTTAAAATGTTCCTTCATCCCTCTATTTCCTATAATCTGGTAGTTAGATACAGAAGTTTGGTGTTAATTTTTCTAAGAATACTTCATTGGTGGTATGAGGTGCTACTACTACGAAGCACATATTCTAGCTGTCTCTTTTTGTAATTCTAGTAGCCGTCAGGGATCATCGCTGAGATCCTTTATTGGCAGCAGGGGTTTATGAAACAGTCACTTTGTCATTTCATCATTCCTAATTGATTAGCTTGAATACACACACACATAGAGAAAGATAAACTTTTCCTCATTAACTATCTACTCTGAAATATATTTCATAAAAGAAGACTACATTAAATGCTTGTCTTTTATTTGCCAGTTTTCATAATACAACTGTAATGTTTCCAAAGGCGATCATTGATTTTTTTTCCTTTTGGTATCATTAATAACTCATGAACTTTTGATATATTAGATGTATTTCAATATTCACTTATTATTTTTATTGATATGAAAATTATCCCATCTTTCGATACAATCTACCACAGTGAGAACAGTTTCAATATGGCCCCTGTGTTGTTTTGACATGGGCCTAGTAGTCTTTGAAAGACTACTTGCTTTACGCCATGACCAATACTTATTTTCATTGTCCCTCAACATACGTATTTATGTATACCAATATTATTAGTAACAATGGGATTACTGAAAACAGGTTAAAATTTGTCCTTGTTTTTTATTCTTTAGACAGTCAAATTATTGTTCTTAAAAATCACTTAAAGTAATTCCCCTCTCTAAACCACCAGTTCAATATAGAATTAGGTTCATTTGTTTTATTTTTATTTAGAATTTTTAGGGATGGCTTTTATTTTTATTAAGTTCTGTTAAAAATAAGTAAAAGTTACATGGTTTTAAAGTCAACTCTATAAAACGAGGTATAGGCAAAGAAGTCTGTTTCCTCTCCTTTTTCACTTTGTTCATTTTGCCCCATTTTCTAAGAAAGAAAACATGTTTTCACCTGTATTAAAACACAAACATCTATTGCCACCCTTAGATAAATGGCATCCTACTATGTACATTTTTCTCTACACACATCTAGCTTTTTTCACTTACACAGTATCCTAGAGATCATTTCACAGAAGTATAAAGAGATATCTTTCAACTTTTTACAGTTGCACAATTTCATTGTTTGGATTTACCACACATTATTCAATCAGTCCCCTCTCAGTGAACATTAGGGTTTATAGCTTTTTTATAATATAGAAGTTTTATAATGAATGTGGATGTGTAAGTCAGTTTACAGTCAAGTGTGTGTGTCTGGTATAGATGTGTAGGAATGGAATTGTTGGGTCAAAGGGCAAATACATATATAATTTTACCAGTTTTGCCAAATTACATTCCACAAATGTGCTATTTTACAAATGCATATCTAATTGCACAAGGGAAGACTGTATAAATATGGAGAGAGTGGAATTAAAGACTAAATATGATCTAATGTCAACAGATACAAAGAACTACCTAAAATACTAATTGCATTTTTATTTAAGTTACCTTCCCATTGATAGCTATTCATTTATATAACAGCTCTGTCTTGATGGGAGCTTCTGTCACAGATAATATTTGCTAATTCTAATCCATTATGATTATACAATGCAAAATTATTGATATTCAAACATTCTCATTTATAAAGCACTATTATCTAGGAAGCCAGCTTGCTTCCACATGATTCACCTTTTCATTGGAAACTTAATAGGAGTAGAAATTACAAATTTGTTCGTTGGGCATACCTCACAGTAGACATTAGCCCTTTTCATCATAAGCCATAACCTATACATTATGAAACCATCTCAGAAAGTCACTAACTTTTAGACTAGAGAATAATGAAATTTTAAAAACATCATTTTAAATACTTAGATTTGCTTCTTAATGGTGTCTTATCATGGATTGATATTATACTCCTTTGGTTTAAAGCTGTTGAGTGATTCACAATGAGATGACTGACAAAACCCAAAGTAATAGTCTAAAGACTTCTTAAACCACTACTTCCAAATCTGCTTCTTTTTATTGATATAATGAGGGGAGAATTAATTTTAAAAGGTGGTGACTATTGATTACTTAATGGCAGACGATAGTGTTGAGAAATGCTGAAGTGAGCCTATTCTGTGCCCTCCTGGGCAACAGGACCCATTATCCAGTGGTGGAAATCATGCTGTAACCCTCATTAATATTTAATAGGCAGGACGCAGGCTGGATGCAGGATGCAAAATTGCCCTAGGCATAGGTTCCAATAGGTCATCAGAATGTTTCAAGTATATAAAAGAGTAACAGATTTCCCTGTGTTCAGATTGTTTATAAGCAGGACAACAATACACTCAATTCCCTTTTGTGATCTCTGGGCAATGATAGCCTCATGGAAATGCCTACTAGGCAAGTAGAAGTGATTAATGCTCTGGGAAGTCATTCTAGGTTAGTAAGCCCTGCATGAGAAGACTTTGTATTTTCCAGTGTGGTTCTCAGTTTCGGCCCTTCTCTTTCTCTCTTCTTGCCACAAGCTGAAGGGCTTGTTCAGCAGGGGTGGCGAGTCAGCAAAAGGCGTTAATTGTGTCTAACACAGCCATCGTCCTTGGGGCAATATTACGTATCACACTGTCTATCAAACTAACCCCTTGTCACACATCAGGATCTTTTTTATTTCACCTCATTTAAAAGGGAAACAAGGAGTTTTGTAAATTTTTTTTTAAAGATTTTATTCATTTATTTGACAGAGAGAGAGACACAGCGAGAGAGGGAACACAAGCAGGGGGAGTGGGAGAGGGAGAAGCAGGCACCCCGCAGAGCAGGGAGCGGGATGTGCGGCTCAATCCCAGGACCCTGAGCTGAAGGCAGACGCTTTTAACAACTGAGCCACCCAGGCGGAAACAAGGAGTTTTAAAAGATAGCTGGTGGGGAAACACGAGTCTAAGTGCTTGTAAGAACAACGAGCCTTCCAAGCTGACTTGTACTAAACTGGGCTGTGACTTCTGAAAGGACAAGACACGGTTTTATAAATTGCTGGCTCCCATTGTTAACTTTTCAAATGACCAGGTTATTTTTCAGTACCAGCAGCTTATTCTGAAAATATTATAAGCTTGGAATGAAATTAAGTTCTTGAGATAGAACATATTCTTAGGATTTATGGGTACATAAAGGACACAACATCAAGATATCCACCATTCCAAACAATGTATAAAATTAGATGTGAAGAAATATCCATTTTTTGACTCAATGACTCTAAAGATTGTTGAAACTATATTTAGGAGAATCATTTACTTTGTAACATATCAAGAATTATTTATAATTACCTGCCTAGAATGAATTATGTAAGAATAAAAATTTAGCTTTGTAGGCAAAAAGTATCCAAGGGAACAAGTCTTCTATTAACATATTGAGCTTTTTCTCAAAACCAGTGAATGAAATTGACCCAGAGGTCTCATTGTAATCCCATGCTAAATGTGGACAAATTCAGTTTTACTTCCAACCTCTGACTGGCATGCCTAAATGCAAGATATTTATTACTAGCTCTGTGTGTATGCCTTCTCTTTCTGACACCAAGTAGAGAGTCTCAAATTAACAAGTGATCAATGATAAATGCATTTGTATTCATTTTGGTTTTTTGACAAATACGATTATGAGGCATACTGGTGGATCTACTCATGTTTTTGTCTGTTTTGTTGTTGTTATTTATTAGTTGGTTGGTTAGTAATACATGTCATTCTGTCATGGAAATTAGTTTGTGGCTAGCTCACTTGAAGAGAGCTCAGCTTAGAATTCATAGATTCTTCAGCTGCCATTCCCAAGAGCAGAAGTAACACTATAAATTGAAAACAGTTTAATAGATTTTCTTCAAGATTCTTAACACTGTAACATAAAACGTATGAAGGCATTTTTGTCAACTGTAAATATTATAATGTTATTAATAGTTATACTTTCAGTGCCTTTAGATATTCCAGAGAGGAGTTTTTTAATCCTATATTTGCAGTATATTGACGCTTACTGAACATAATCTAATCTATCTAGCAATTTTATCAGTGAAAGTCACAAATCCTAAATGTCCTTTCCTTTCTCTTTCCTATTTTATAGCGCAGCAGCAGTTTTGGGAATTTTGATCGTTTTCGGAATAACTCCATTTCAAAACCAGATGATTCAACTGAGGTTAGTATTTTATTATAATTTTATGAATGTTATGCAAACACATTAGGAAAAATTATGAAGCCAATATCACTTTTGCAAAGTAAAGTATATTTAAAAATCACAGTCTTGCCTATATTTTTGTAATAAATGAACAAAGAACTACTTACTACCTAGTTACCATGCTGGGTATTAAAAGTAAAAAGCTCTATAAGAAGCCTAACATTAGGAAAAGCAGAACATGAACTTAAGAAGAGAGTTACAGATAGAAGGATTTTGAGAAACAAGACAGAGGATCATAGGGGAAGGGAGGGAAAAATGAAACAAGATGAAACCAGAGAGGGAGACAAACCATAAGAGACTCTTAATCTCAGGAAACAAACCGAGGGTTGCTGGAGCGGAGTGGGTGGGAGGGATGGGGTGGCTGGGGGACGGACATCGGGGAGGGTATGTGCTATGGTGAGCGCTGTGAATTGTGTAAGACTGTTGAATCACAGACCTGTACCCCTGAAACAACTAATACATTATATGTTAATTAAAAAATAAAAAAAGAAAGCAAACTGATGGTTTCCAGAGAGGAGAGGGTTGGGGGACAGGGTGGTACAGGCTTCCAGTTACTGAGTGAACAAGTCATATAAAACAAAAATAACAGCATAGGGAATATAGTCAATGGTACTAAAAAATAGAGAGAGAGAGTTACAATGTAAAGGAACACAAATAATCCCAAATTTTCTGAGCATTTCCACCATAAAACAATATATATGTTAAATTTTATGTAGATGGTAATTGCTTTAATTTAATGATTAAATGGCTTAGTTGTAAATTTGTCAAGGAGAGCATATGGTTGCTCAACTGCACTCAACACTTCTACCATATGCATTGATATGCCTCATAGGTGACTATTACATCCACGTTTGCAAACAATGAACACTTTAAATGTAGCTTAAGGAAAGCTTCCCATAAAATTAAGTCTATATAAAAATAATGGTAATAATAATATCTACATTTAATTGAACACTTATCATGATATAGGCACAACACTAAACACTTTACCTACCTCTAGTGTAGGGACTATTAGTATTATTATTTTACCAATGAAGAAATACATTTCGTTGAGTGAAAATACTTCTAAATTACGCAGTTAATAAATGACAAAGGCAGAACTCAACATCTTGTTTGACTTCAAGTTTGCATTTCTGTTATACTATCTCACAAATGACAGGCCAACTGTGATGTGATTAATGAAAAGTTTAACATCTGATCAAACAGTAGAGAGGAGGGATATATACTGAGAAAACTAAAAATAATGTTTATCATTGAACCTGATTCAGCAACTCCACATGTGATACATTTTAGATCAATAGGTTTTGGATCTTATGTATTTCTTAATTATTCATTCTCATTATTGAATGTTTATTTTTTGTTTTTTTATAAAGAATTTTCCTGTTATATTTAATTTCTCAATATACTTTTCAGATTCCTATGTGTATATATCTACATTTTTAAATATTGGTATTTCAGTAATGGAATTCTAAACAAAAGAAATGAAAACAGAATGACATTTAGTATTACTTTATAAATATATCCATTAGTACACATACATGCATGTGTGTATAATATATCCCCTTTATATATATGTATATTATTTATATACACATGCTTATGGATAAACCTATAAATAGCTATATAGTTTATCCACATTTATTTAGTTTTAAATAAGACAATATATGTATATAGAGAGAAACCCCATATAATTTCATTCTCAATTAACATCTTATATAAACCTTTAACTTCCCATAATCACACACAGATTGTAGATTCTACACAGTAGAATCTGCTGTTTAGTTTAAAACTAGGGTTAACCTGTAAAAGTAGCTCAGGCTCATTCAGGTTGATTGATTAGTAATGGTGGCTTAGTAATTTGTGAAAGAATTTAGTGACCCTGAAAAAGTAGTTCACATGTTTTTCAGCAATTCAGCATTCATTCATTCAACAAGTATTTCTTGAGCACCTGCTCTAGGACAGCGTTTCCATTAGGCACTCAAAAATTACTGTTGCAACTGATGAAAATCCCTACTTCATGAAGGCTAATGTAGGGAGGGAGAGACAGATCTTAGAAAAGCAACGACAACAACTGTAAATAAATATCTAATAAAGGTGTGATTCAGGTGATGAAAAAGAACAGCATGGAAAAATGCGGAAGTTGAAAATATGCTAAGGTAGTTTCTTTGAAACATCTGTAAGAAACAATAGAAAAACCTAAAATTAAAAATATTTGTGATACTGGGGCACCTGGGTGGCTCAGTTGGTTAAGCATCTGCCTTCAGCTCAGGTCATGGTCCCGGGGTCCTGGGATCGAGCCCCACATGGGGCTCCTTGCTCAGCAGGGGGCCTGCTTCTCCCTCGCCCTCTGCCTGTCCCTCCCCCTGCTTGTGTTCTCTCTCTGTCAAATAAATAAATAAAAATCTTTTAAAAAAGTATTTGTGATACTTTCTTGAAGCTTAGGCAACGGTAATTTAACACAGATAGTAATAAAATAATATACTTTCTTGTTTTTTTGGTTTTTTGTGGGTTGTTTTGTTTTGTTTTTAGTTTGTAATTTTACAGTGAAGATAGAGCTTAAGTAGAGAGAAGAGAGAAGAAAAGGCTGACTTTAAATTTTTAAGGGGTTTCCAAGTTATATTTTATTCAGGGCTTTTTAATTAAGCAAAGAATCTGCCTTTTATAACCTTGAATGTAGAAATTGAAGTTCAATGAGGACTTCAATAGGCTGTCCATTCATATTTATCATAGGCAATCTGGGGTAAGATATGAAGTAAAACATAATATTGACTAATAATTTTGTTAACTATGTGGTTAAGCCTTCCTATTAAAATATTCAAGGAGAGGGGCACCTGGGTGGCTCAGTTGGTTAAGCGGCTGCCTTCAGCTCAGGTCATGATCCCGGGGTCCTGGGATCGAGCCCCACATCGGGCTCCCAGCTCAGCAGGGAGCCTGCTTCTCCCTCTGGCCCTCTCCCCTCTCATGCTGTTTCTCTCTCTCTTTCTCTCAAATAAATAAATAAATAAAATCTTAAAAAAAAAATTTCAGGGAGAGCCTAGGTGGCTTAGTCAGTTAAGCATCCAACTCTTGACTTCAGCTCAGGTTGTATCTCAGGCTTGTGAGATTCAGCCCCGTCCTGGGCTGGCAGGGAATCTATTTGAGACTCCCTCCCTCCCTCCTCTACCCCCTACCCCCATGCATGCTCTCTCTCTCTAAAATAAATAAATAAATCTTAAATATAACAAAAATACAAAATAAATATTCAAGTTAACTAAAGGGAAGTTTCCCCTAATTTTTTTTATATTCAGGAAATATCTGTCTGTCCACCCATCAAGAATGGTGGGCAATGCTAGACTAGATGACCCTTAAGGGTCCTTTCTTGAAATCTAAGATATTGAGGATATATAACCCAAGTAGGTCCTTCAAGAAAAAGAAAAAAAAAATCACTCCAAAGTTCTACATGAGAAGTTTTGCTTATTCAAAAAATATCAAGTGTCAGTTATGTTCCTGGAAGTGTTCTAGATGTTCAGAATAAATAAAAAATATGAAATCTCCAGGCTCATGGAGCATACCTCATAGTGGGAGATGCAGGCAATAATCAACCAATCAAAGTATCAGATAATGTTAAATACTTAGAATACATTACATATGAATTACATGAAGATTTCTATACTAGTGGCTAGACCAACTTCATATTTACTATTGCTTGAGAATGTGGGAAATACGCATGGGATACTCACCTGCAAGAAGAAAAAATTGCACTTTCTCAGTGGATTTACTTAACTCCAAAACTTTTTTACAAATGACTATTTCAACTTCTAAAGAATCAAGAGGATATTTTAATGCCTGTTAAGCATGAATACATGCTATAGCCTTTCTAAAGCCCCCAATCAAATATCTCCATCTATGTAGACTTAATCACTCATTATGCCTGTCATTTAATTCTCTTTTGCCCATCTCAAAAATGGGAAAACCAGGGGCACCTGGGTGGCTCAGCCGGTTAAGCATCTGCCTTTGGCTCAGGTCATGATCCCAGGGTCCTGGGATGGAGTCCCGCATCGGGCTCCCTGCTCAGTGGGAAGTCTGCTTCTCCCTCTGCCTCTCCCCCTGCTCGTGCTCTCCCCACCCAGTAAATAAATAAAAACTAAAGTGGCTCTATTGTACAACGATTCAAGGAATAACTAAAATTCTTTAAAAAAACTTTTAGGTGTGAAGCTCAGGTCCTTCGATATCGCAAGTTTTATTTTCTGAGTTTGTAACACATGTAACCAGGCTTGGACAACTTTAAAAATATGTATTATATCCAGATCGAAGTTTTGGAGGCTCCTGAACATAACACACGGGAAGCCCACAAATCTGAAATCTTCTCTTTAATAATGTTTTCAGATAAATGATTTTTATTGCTTTATTATTCTGTCTTTTGTAAACAATTCTAACTAGGTATATGAAGGGGAACCCATAAATGAAAGTGGAGAACAAAATAAAACTTCAAATAATGGAGGAGGTTTAGGGAAAAAAATGAGAGCTATTTCCTGGACAATGAAGAAAAAAGTGGGTAAAAAGTACATCAAAGCCCTTTCTGAGGAAAAGGTAAATATACTCTGCTAATCATTTGTATTTTTCTATTAATTTTTTTCTTAAAATAGGCAACAGATTCTTCTCCTAGATAAAGAATTACTTGGTCCTTTAGGAAGGACTTCAAAATCTATTTTCTCCCTCAGAAGTTAGATGGAAAAAAACCATTATGACTCCTATGTTAATAGAGGAAATGGAGGCTCAGAAAGATCACACATGTAGCATATGAAGAACGGTATGTCATATGTTGTAACAAACATCAGTACTTCATTTCTTTTCATTGCCAAATAATATTCCATTTTACACATAAACAACATTTTATTTTTCCTTTCATCAGTTGATAGACATTTGAGTTGTTTTCACTTTCTGGCTATTGTAAATAATGCTGCCATAAATATTTATGAGTTTTTGTGTGGAAATATTCTTTTGTTTCTCTTGGGTATATGGTAACTATCTGATATTTTGAGAAATTGGCAACCTGCTTCCCAAAGCAGTTGCATCATTTTACATTTCCACTAGCAATGTGTGACAGTTCCGGTTTCTCCACATGCTTGCCAACACTTGTTACTGTCTTTTCGATGCTAGCCTTCCTGGTGGGTGTGAAGTGGAATTTCAATGTGGCTTTGATTTGCTCTTCCCTGATGACTAATGATGCTGAGAATCTTGTCGTATTCTTATGAGCCATTTGTATATCTTCTTTAAAGAAATGTTTACTCAGGGACACCTGGATGGCTCAGTCGAGTTAGTGTCTGCCTTCGGCTCAGGTCACGATCCCGGGATCCTAGGATGGAGCCCTGCATCAGGCTCCCTGTTCAGCAGGGAGCATGCTTCTCTCTCTCCCTCTGCCTGAAGTTCCCCCTGCTTGTGCTCTCTCTTGCTCTCTCTCTTAGTCAAATAAATAAATAAAATCTTTAAAAAAAATTAAAAAAAAAGAAATGTTTACTCAAATCTTTTGACCATTTTTTAATTGGGTTATTTGGGGTTTTTTTTATTGTTGACTTTTAAGCTTTTGAAAAATATATCCTGGAGGCAAGTACCTTATCAGATATATGATTTGCAATACTATATATTTTCTCCCATTCTGTGGACTGTATTTTCACTTTTTTGATGGTATCATTTACAGCACAGATGTTTATAATCTGATATAGCCCAATTTATCTATTTTTTTGTCATTTAACTTTTAATATTGCAATTAAAAAACTACTGTTTAACTTAAGGTCACAAAGATTTACTCCTGTGCTTTCTTCCAAGAGTTTACAGCTGTAGCTCTTAAATTTTGGTGTATGATCTACTAATTTTTTTATGGAGTGTAGTAGGAGTCCATCTTCATTCTTTTGAATGTGGATATCAAGTTGTCGTAACACTAATTTGTTAAAAGGACAATTATTTTACTGTTGTCTTTTCTTCCACCCTTGTTGAAAATCGATTGATAATAAATACATGGTCATAATTATATATGGGTTTATTTCTGACTCTCAATTCTATTACATTGATCTGCAAGTCTTAGTCCATTCTCTTTTTTAACCCACTTCAGTAGGACTTCTGTCCCCAATAATTCATTAAAACAGTAATCATAATAGATATTAACCTCTGTGTGGCTGAATTTACCGGTCACTTTTCTTCTTTCATTACTTTTCAACTGTATTTGACACAAGTGATGATTTCAATACATTTGAAACATTCTCTTTTCTTGGTTTCTTCAACTGAGCATTCTTCTGGCTTTCTTTCTTTCTCAGAGTTTCCTTTCTTGGCTTTGGAAAGACTGTCTCTCTAAATATTCAGTCCTTCTGAGGCTTATTCCTAGATGCTGTACTCAGTCTACTCTCCCCCTCAGTGATCTCATCTAGTCTCATCACTTTGTTTTTCTGAAATTAATCTCTAGCTATGATATCTTACCTGCTGTACTTAAACAACCAATTGTGGGAGCGCCTGGGTGGCTCAGTTGGTGTTCAGGTCATGATCTCAGGGTCCTGGGATCGAGCCCAGCATCGGGCTCCCTGCTCAATGGGGAGCCTGCTTCTCCCTCTCCCTCTGTGCTCTCTCTCAAATAAATAAATAAAATCTTAAAAAAAAAACTAAACATACTTTAAAAAAAACAACCACTTGCGTATTCAATATCATCATTTATATGTACAATAGGTATCTGGAACCCAATATATTCAAAACTGAATGATTAATTCTCCATGCTCTACAAAAAAAATGTTTCTTGTCCAGTCTTCCCAGTAGTAATAGACAACATTGCCATAACTCTAGATGGAAAGAAGAAAGAGGAAAGAAAAAAACAGAACAGAGAAAAAAAGGAAAGAGAAGAAGTAAGGTAGGAAGGAAGGAAGTAAAGAAAGAAGAAAGCCCAAGATTCATTCCAAATTCCCTTTTTCTCTCACTTTTCACACCAGTTCATCACCACATCCTCTTGGCTCAAACTCCAAAATCTTATCTATAACTCCTAATTTTTCTATGTAAACTATTCCTGCTTTAGACCAACCAACCAACCAAGAACAACTTCTCTTGCCGAGACTGCCATAAAACCACCTAATTGGTCATCTTTCTTCCACTCTTTCCTCCATAAAAGCCATTCTCCACACAGAAGCTGGAAGGATCTAAAGTGGAATTCAGAACACATCATGCCCCTTGTTTAAAATTTTACAATGCCTTCACAATGCCTTTCCTTACTATAGTATGTTCATTCCAGTCCTCTGAGAAGCAGGTCCTAAGAAAGCAATGGACACACCAAAGATTATTGGGGAAAATGAATGTGAAGGATGGAGAAAGAAGAACTGGATAAGGAAAGCCTTCAGACAACAGTGCAAGTCTGAAACTTGTGAAAGGAGAGGAAGAAAGTGTTAGCCAGATTGGCAGATAGTCCTTGAACCAGTTTTCAATTAAAGGAGCCCTGTACCCCACCAGAATGGACTCAAATGGTATCCCCACTGTTTCAGTCATTGGCAGAGAGCATGGCCTCCATGCAGACACCGTGGTGGATTCAGTAGCTGGGGCTGTCAGTAAAGAAGGGTCTCGCAGCAAAAGATCTGAGTGACACATTTCCATGACCACTACACTTGGTCTATAAAGCTCTTCCTGATCTGACTCCAGTGTACTTCTCTTTGCTCATTTTCTTTATTTTTTTAATTTTTTTAAAGATTTTATTTATTTATTTGAGAGAGAGAATGAGAGATAGAAAGAGAGCATGAGAGGGGGGAGGGTCAGAGGGAGAAGTAGACTCCCCGCTGAGCAGGGAGCCTGATGCGGGACTCGATCCCAGGACTCCAGGATCATGACCTGAGCCAAAGGCAGTCACTTAACCAACTGAGCCACCCAGGCGCCCTCTGAGCTCATTTTCTAACACTCTCCTTGCTCTCACTCAGCTCCAACTACATTGGCCTGGTCTTCCCGCTCACAACCCAAGCTAATTCTGAGTTATTTTGTTCTTGCTATTCTTTTTGCTTGGAAAACTGCCTCCAATTCTTTCTACAAGTTACATCTTAACATTCAGGTCAAGAAGTCAGAGCATATATTACCCTACAGAAGAGGTCTTTGGAGGCTACTCCATCGAAATCAGCCAATCTTCCCCTAACCCTAATCCAGTAGCTAATGCCCTCACATCACTGTTTTATTTCCTTCATAGCACTTATTCCCTGAAATTTTCTTTTGTGTTTTGTTTACACACACCTCCCCAAACACTAAACACACACACACACACACACACACACACACACACAAACCCTAACACACTAAAATGTATCTCATTAGAGTAGGGACCATATTATCTTGTTTACTATGGTATCCCCGGTTCCCAAAAACAGTGCCAGGAACTTACAAGGTGTTCTCTAAACTTGTGTTGAATGACTGAACAAATGAATAAAGGAATGGATAAGAGCAGAGAATCAAACTGAGTATGTATCATATATGTATTCTGAAGTTTTATCGATGTTTAGAAATGCTCATAAATGAGGAATATTGAATTACATTTTGACGAATATTAAGAAATTTATAAGTTTTGTCCAAACTATCTAAATATGGAAGACATTTGAGATGTTTTCAAGCAGATGTAATTTGTTTTCAAATTGTCTGTCTTTTTATGCAGGCTTTGCTTTTCACTTGACTAGGTGTGCAAGCTCGGTATGACGATTTGTAAAGCTTCTTAGATAAGCTTCACTTTAGAATTGCAAAATGTGCATGTTTTATTCATATCTAGTGATCTGGTAGGGTGCAAATAACTGACATGAAACAACGATGCAGAATTTAAACTTGTAATATCAGATCTCAAAGGATTAGTAAGGGTGATAAATAGATGATAAGGAGAACATGAAGAAATTAAAGTGCTTAAACAGATAAAGCATAGATGTTAATAAATCTAACATTTCTGATTAAGCAGTCCAATATGATAGTCATCCTAATTTACAAAATGAACTATTATAATTTCATTTGAATTCCATAATGTGGAATGTTTCATCTAAAGAATTTTTCCAAGCATAACGTGTTTTGCTCGAAATTGAACTAAAGATTAATGACCCTCATATTTTATGCCGATGTATTCCTAAGTATTTTATTGCTAAAATATGTCTTGTTTGTTAAATCAAGTGGATATCTCCATGGATATCAGTTCTCTGCACTTAACCTCTGATATGTTTTTTCTGAAGGATGAGGAAGATGGAGAGGGTGCCCTCCCATATCGGAACAGTGACCCAATGATTGGATCTCACACAGAGAAGGTCTCCCTCAAAGCCAGCGACTCCATGGATAGTCTCTTCAGTGGGCGGAGTTCATCAAGTAAGCCTATAGAATAAGGGACAAGATCCTTACTGGGAGGGCTAAGTTAATTAAAAACAGCAGATTTTAACTATAGAGAACAAACTTGATGGTTACCAGAGGGGAGGTGGGTGGGGAGATGGATGACATGGGTGATGGAGACTAAAGAGTACAGTTACCATGATGAGCACTGTGTAAATGTACTGAAGTGTTGAATCACTATACTACACACCTGAAACTGATATAACACTGTTATGTTAATAATACTGGAATTAAAAAAAAAAAGAGAGAGAGAGAGAGAAACAAATTCAAATGAAAACCAGTAATAACAGATTGGCTTCTCTGGGGCTTATCAAATTAGCAAAAAGTTTCCAGCTACTTGATAAGAGAAATAGTGAAAATGTAGGATTGCTGAATCGGTAGAGCTGCTGGTGTTTAAAATGATACACAAAATATTCGACAGAATTATGTATTATTTTGAAACTTTTAACACTGTAGTTGGCAGAACTCTTGGGGATATGCTTCAAAAAGATCATGTTGGGTGACTAAAATCTGCATCCCTAAAATAAAAATGTTTGCTTAGGAGAACTAGCATTATCTTGAGTCAAAATTTTTAAAATGACTTGACGTATTCAGATAAATGAAATCCCGTTCTGTCTCTTCTTCCTTCCCTCCCTTTTTATTCCTTTTTTCCCTCCCTCCTTTCCTTTCTTTCTTCTCTTTTTTCCCTTCTCCTGTCCTCACTTTTTCCCTTCCTTTCTGTTCCTTTTTGCCTTAAGTATTCTGAAAAGAGCAGGACGTATGCATCAATTCCCACATTTACTTTTTAGGTGTCCGTCCAGCATTAGTGAGTCAAGAATGAAATGCTAATGTAAATACTAAATAGAAGGAATATCACCAGGTGACAGAAAGGAAGCAGCATGTGTTCAACAGGATTTTCCAAAATCATTGTTTCCAAGAAGGAAGTCGTTCAGGTTTCAGTCACATAGCCTGCTACAATATTTGGATGAAACTACTGAAACTGCAGGGCACCTTATAACTTTTTTATGTGTACACTGTTATACATTCCTCTGATCTTTTCAGGGCTTTTAAATGTTTTCTTTTTTTGCAAAGTTTATTTTCCATTTCCTTTTTAATCAACTGCTTCTGTTATTTGAAGATAGATTGCAAAGACCAGATGTTTTAGATATCCTGAATTTTATTCCTACTTTTCCTATGGGCTGAAGAAGAGTTATTTTGTGGGAAAAAAAAACCCAAAAAACTAATGTAGAAACATTTGAAGGATATATTTTTGCATGTGTGAAATTCAGATTTCATTACTATTCACTTCTGCTGGAAGTTTTAAAATTCTCAATTGTATTGCTGAATGTGGGTAGAATTTTACTAACTGGAATGTCCCATGAAAAGCCAGCACCAGGGTGGCCATGGAAGGGAAGGTGTAAGGAGATGGTGGCCCACTTCGCTATTGTCCTACACAAATTAGTTTCTTAGTTACATGCAACTCACCCTTTCTTACAATGGTTCATATTCGATATAGAACATCTCTAAGGTTCTTTACCTTATTTCCATAATTATTTGAATAAATAGCAGAGAAACCAGGGCTGTTTCATCTTTGAACAGAGCACTGAAAGGCCACACTGAAGGAGACAGTGAAAGTAGTGGAGAGTGGTGACAGTGGTGGAGAAACCGAGAATTACTTCCACTGGGAGCCATTCTTGCCCCCATCCTGCAGGCAGCAAAAATGGAATCTTTTTCTTTTTTTCCCTTGAGGTTCAAACTCAGAAGGGAAAAGGACCAGAGAACAAGGATTTGGAGCAATTTTAAAAGCCCACTTTAGAAAGTTTAGAACCACTTGGGAGTACAGACACTGGAACACACTTTCTCTTTCCTTCACATTCACACAACAAGCAAAAGTGCTACCTTTTATGCATAGAGATGTTGTTTCAAAATGGCTTTTGGTACATAACAGGATGTTTGGGAGAGCATTCTAGCTACATTGTGGTAAGTATAGGGAACCCTGTAGTCTTATGCTTTGACCATTTGTGATCAGTAGCACATAAAGGTCAAACTGTTGCTATAGGTTTTTATCTTTGTTTACAGGTACAAAATTAATTGTCTGGCCTGTATAGGGAGTTAAGTCTGTATCGTCTGCCTCTTTAGCAAGTGTTCAATGCTCAAAACACTGTGCTACTGGATCAGATCACAGAGACCGTAGTGAGAGGGTGTTTGGGTTAGTGGTTGAGGAAAGAATGGTCAGATTAGCTGGAGAAAGTTCAGAAATGGCTCAGAGGACAGAGGTCAATGATGGAGAGTGACTGGGAGGCAGAAAAAATAGGAATCCATCACTTAGAACCCCCTCAAAAGGTTGGCATCCAGTGCTTCAGCATTATCCCTGCTTAGCTCTATCCAGATGATGGTTCAGAATGTTATGAACCTTCAGTGAGAACTGTTAACCTCTGCTTTGCTTTCATCAGGTGGAATAACAAGCTGTTCAGATGGTACAAGTAACCGGGATAGCTTTCGACTTGATGATGACGGCCCCTACTCTGGACCATTCTGTGGCCGTGCCAGAGTACATACAGATTTTACACCAAGCCCCTATGACACTGACTCCCTCAAAATCAAGGTGTGTGCACATCATATCTGCATTCTGTATGGTTTATCTAGCGCTGGTTGTATGATCTGTGTCAGGAAGTACAAGCAGTGTGGGGGGGGGGTGCGGTGCGCGGCGAGTGTGTTCTTCCCAGCAGTAGAACTGAGGACGGGGTTACTGTGGCAAGAATTTGAACAAAATACATGAGGTGGGAGAGGGGAATCAGATTCTGTTGAGGCTCCAGCATAAGTTGCTGTTATGGAGATAATGCAGAATCCGAGCCTATCTGGGGAAAAGAAATTGTCTACATTTTTCTGAAAACCCAAAGCCTCACAGGTGGAGGTGCCCAGCTCTGCCTGATACTTGCTGGAGTTAAAAGGAGAGAGAGAAAAGATGGTGATATCAGGCAAGAACCCCTCACAGCAACTCCCTTGGGAACCAGACTTGGTTGGGCAACTTCGGTACCTAAGTTAGTTGCTACGAATAACCAGACATCTTTCTCCCAATGATATTCCCTCCTGAATTCCCTCTTCTTAACCCTTATTCTCTGTATTCATTTTCTATTGCTGTGGAACAAATTTCCACAAACTCAGGGACTTTAAACAACACAAATGTATTACCTCAGTGTTCTATAGGTCAAACATTTGGTCATGGCCCAACTGCATTCCCTGCTTAAGGTCTCACTGGGCTAAAATCCAGGTGACAGCTGGAGCTGTAATCTCCCTGGGGCTCAGGTCCTCTTCCAAGGCAGAGGTTGCAGGACTGAGACTCCTGCTTTCTTGCTGGATATTGTCTGGGAGTCACTCTCGGGCCCTTGAGGTTGCCAGCCGTGGTCCTCTCTACAACATGGCAGTTTGCTCCGTCAAAGCCTGCAGGGGAAGAGCTCACTCATGTTTCAAATCTCTTTAAAAGCTCCTACCTGATAAAGTCAGAAACACCCAGATAATCTCCCTCTTAATTACAACATTAACTAATTTGGGACATTAATTACATCTGCATAGTCCCTTGCACCATAAAATACAACATAATCATGGGTGTGAAATCCATCGCTTTCATAGTCCTACTCACACTAGAGGGGAGGTGCTGTTGCAATCGTACAAATAGAAGGTTTGGTGCTAAAGTATTTTATACATGTTAAATTATTCCTTTTAGTAACACAAACTGATATAGCTAAAAGGACAGAAATTATGACTTTTCTATACTATCAACACCAAGCCAATGTTAACCAGCAATTATAAGTTATGAAGTATTGATGTTATTATTTAACATTCAAGACACTCTGCTCTTCTCTTTATCCCCTCTATTGTAACAAACCAGAGTAAGCTCAGCGGGAGAATGAGGAGAACATTATTTTCCATAGTTAGCTCCTTAGTCGTTTCTATGAAATGATTTGAAGTCTAAGTTAAAGTTTTGGGGAAAGAATATTTGTAGCCTAGTAACCATTGTTGGGGGAGGGTGCAGAAGGGAACAAATTGAACACATTTTGACTCAGGAGAGCTTTTCACCTTCCCTATAATACCATACCAGTGCCCCACCACTTATGCTGTCTAAGGTGCTATTTGGAGAGCTCTTGTAGGACACAGTAAGAATCCCCCAGTCACCACTGAGGATTGAATGCTATCCTTTATATCAAGGGTCTTATCCATAATGAAATTGGGTCTTTGCTTGGTGACCTGTGGGCGTTCCTAGAACGTATACTTTTATAAGTTTAGAGGATAATAGGAAGGATGCAGCACAGAGCTCCCATGCTTAGAAACTTCCCCCAGAGCTTCTGGGGATTTTCTAGGTCTGTTTAGCTGATCCCATCTAGCCCAGGATTTGATTCCCCATGGTGAAAGGCAGGAAGAACCAGATGAACAGCTCACAAGGTCAGACAAGCAGATGATCACAAATCAGAAAGATCAAATCTTTTAATCACATTGACAATGTGTGTTTTAGATGGAAGAATACACATTCATAGAACATGGGGAAAAAGCATTTTTAGTAGCAGACTTATTGTTTTGTTTGTTTGAGGGTAGTCCCCATATCAGAATCTATAATGTCCTCTCCGGGGTAGAAATTTGTAAGTCTCAGAGGAGGAAATGTGACTTTTAAATGTAGGCACTGTATTTGTGTAGAAATCAATTTTCTTTACAAAGTACCCCTGGGGGTTTTCTAATCTTGCCAGTAACTGGCACCCTGCAGCCAATCAGTCTTAGATATGAATGAAGACCACATTTGGGGGGCACCAAATGGTCTTTTGGTCTTTTGACCAACCGGTTTGTCCTCCTAATGTGCTTCATTCATATTTCAATCCAAACTCTGTTGTGAAGCTCAATCTAAGTATTATCTTCTCTTAATTCAGTAGCATAATTTATCCTTAGTGCACACACACATACTTCTGTTACATATTTAGATATATGAAGCTCTTAACAGTTTCACGATTTTAGATGAATGCAATACTTTAGATGGTTTTTTACTGTAGATAAATTTTTCAGATGAACTAGAAGCATGGACAGAGACTTCTTTTTCTTTCCCGTCCCCATTTGAGAGCCCCTCCAGGAATGATGGCTTGAGCTTTGCTATATATCTATTGCTTTGACAAGATGAATGAAGAAAGCATCATTTTTTGAGTTCAGACAACTGACTGCCATGAGTTTGAGAAGTTATTTAATGTTTGCATTTCTTTTCCATAATATTTAGAGTTACAAAGATACCTTGTATATGTACTTAAGAAGTGTGTCATGGGCATAAAATGACTCACTGTATGCAAAAGTACTTTGTAAATTGCACTGTGCCCTACAATTATAAGTTCATAAATTGATACACCAAAAACATAAAGATGTCATCAAATGCATGTAGGAGCTTTTCTTCAAGCTTGTTGAAGTGTTCTTCATTATTACTAGCAAAGAGTTCCCTTGAACTTTTTAAAAGAAATTTTCTCTTAGATTTATTTCGGTTATCAGTAACCTCCCTTATCATATTCCCTCATTATTCTAATTTTCTATGATTCCATTCTTTCTACTAATTGGCATAGCACCAAAGTCCTCTGAAAACTCATTGGTGTGTTTCTTTGTCTTTAGAAAGGAGACATCATAGACATTATCTGCAAAACGCCAATGGGGATGTGGACAGGAATGTTGAACAATAAGGTGGGAAACTTCAAATTTATTTATGTGGATGTCATCTCCGAAGAGGAAGCAGCCCCCAAGAAAATAAAGGCACACCGAAATAGTGGAAAGGAAAAACCCAAGACTCTGCAGGAGTTCTTAGAGAGGATTCAACTTCAGGTTAGCAAACCTGTGACCTATTTGATTCTGGTGGCCTCTGGATGGAATAATTGAGGAGAATGGATCAGTGTTGGTACAGCGGTAAAAAAAAATATATAGGACTTACAGCAAAGAAAAATCTATTTTCCAAGAAGACTTCTTATTTCTCCTTTATTACTTTTATTACACAAGGACAGGTCTTGTTATAACCTCCCTTGGACTAAACTCTAATGGTACTTAGCAGTGACAGTAGAGATTAATGTTGAGAAAGTGCAGGTGAAAAATGAAAAATAACTAGGAGAATAAAAGGTCCAGAGAAAACATGGAAATGAGAATGATAAAGAGAGTATGAAGAGTAAAGGTAAAAATCCAGAGAATTGAAAGGAAACAGGGAAAGAAAATTACACTTTCTGTATGGCAGAGATCAAAAGCAAGTCAAGAGAAGATAACTAAATATAACTGTTTCAAAAGCAATTTCTTAGGAAATAGTAATCATTAAGCCCCCATGATGATTATGTTAAGGAAACTGTGTTGTCTATATTTATAATCCAATTCTTTTCTTGTTATATTAGCAAAATTTTTATGAAATCTCCACCTTGTTAAATGGTGTATACATACAATTTACCTAGCCTCACTCAATTTACTGTTTTGCAACCCATTTCTAATATTAATGCAGCAGTACTTTGATAGTTTTCAAAATTCATCAAGGCAATAGCCAATTAAACTTTCCTTAACTGTTTCTCCTGAATTATCTAGTTATACTCCTGTCTGTAGACACACTACGTAGGCCCTCTTATATTACTTTTGGTGCCCCCCAAATGTGGTACTGCTTGGATGAAGTACAAAGTTTAAACCCTGCTTCTTCTTTTTGTTTGCTCTGTGACCTATGAGAAAACCAAGGTCTAAGGAAGTGAAATAACTTACTCAAGAACCCACAATTAGATGATTATGTCAGAATGGGGATTTTGGTTTCTCTGTTCTAATTCAGTGCTCGTTCTAAGAGACATTATTTTTAAAAGAAGTGGTACTTTTTCTTTTTCTCTCTCTCTCTCTCTCTTTTTAAAGGGGCTGGTAGTTATTCCTAATTACTTAAAACTTTTATGCTTCCTCTTACTCAGTTTTGGTAACCAAACTAAGGATACTGAAATTATGATCAGGTAAAATGGAAGGAAGTTTTGAGGAAGCTGTAAAGCCTTCAGCTTCACTTTGCATTTTTATTCTGTTACAGAGAACAAAGGTTACATAAATTACATACAGACTCAGAAATCAGAAGCCTATGAATTTTAAATTAATATATATTGATGCAAATGATGGACAAACTATACATGCTGAGAAAAGAAAACAATACTTTTCCTCACCACAGTGCTTTTATGCTTAATAAAAACTTTTAATTAAATAGAAAGTCTGGAATTCCTTAGGTTTATATAATGACTTTCACCAAATGCTGTCTATTTTTCATGCCTGTTTCAAATTCATTTTTTAAACTACCCCAAGAAGTTAGTGAGGGTAAATTATTTTTGCAAGCCAGCAAACAAGATGTAGATTCAGAAATATTACTATAATTACTCTTTTAGAGGCATTTTATTGATAGACGTAAGGACACGCTAGCTTTGTCAATTGAACTATTTGAGAAGTGAAAAAGTGCCAAATGGGATGAATGATCCAGCTATTTAATTGATCCATGATTTAGCACTGCACGGCTTAACGTAATTATTTCTTCTTTACATCTGTCCTTCCAGAAGGTGAGAATTCTCCAACATACTCTTTTAAATGCCCTAGAGTTCCTATGTGGAGAACTAGTACAAAGGAAAGTTAAGCAAAAGCTCTATCGGTGCCTTTGGTTTCCATACGCACTTCTACACTTTCTTTAAATCTAAAGAGAACTAAAAATAAAATATTTGAATCTGACTAGTTTATATTATACATATTTTTTCTCCCCCGTAGGAATATACCTCAACACTTTTGCTCAATGGTTATGAGACCCTAGAAGATTTAAAGGATATAAGAGAGAGTCATCTCATTGAATTAAACATTAAAAACCCAGAAGACAGGATGAGATTACTATCAGCTGCTGAAAATCTCCTTGATGAAGAAAGTAAGTGTGCACACCTACTTTTCTCCCTAGCTGAAAAATCACAGTTCAATGTAAATAGCATAATTATTAAAAACAAAGCCCCAGTTTTATTTACAGAGAATCCTATAAAGCATTCTTTCCCATAAAATAAGTATTTTCTTATTTATTTAGAAACAACAACTCTGGTCAGGTCTATAATTAGGAAGAGGACTTTTTTCCCTTACTGGACTCAGAAAATGAAAGGACTTTTCTGGGCATCTCATTTAGATTCTGCAGAGCTATTAATTTACACACAAGTGGATGTCTGCATTCCCAAAGACTGAGGGAGTTAGAGACAAATATTTAGTGACAGCATGAGCCATTAGTGAGAAATGTCATATGCAACTTCTGTAGAACAGCACCGAGCATGGCTCTAAGCTAATGAGCCTTCGCGCCGCACAGGAAAATTCATTTCATTACCATATAGTCACATCTTGTATGTGTTTATAGTATTCTTTCAAAATGTTATATAGCTTGCAAAAATATTCAGCACTCACTTTTATTATCTGAGATGGTTCTCTGTATTTGTAAGTATAAACTGAAGATGGAGTAATGCATGCACATTCACTTACCAACTGGGTTTGTAAAGATAGGAAAGCTTTTGTTTCTACAGTTGCCCAATCTGAACGCTCTTCTTACTAAATCTGGTCAGGCTTCTGAAACCCTGAGCTCGGGACGTACCAAACTCCACAAGGAATATTTTCTAAGGAAGAAAGAGGGATGTAGCGACTTTTAAAGATGAAAAAGAACTCAGATCATCTAATCCAACTTTCTCTTTCAAAAGTAATATTGCTCATAATCATTAGCTACTTTTTTTGAACCTGTTCTCGGAGTAAAACTTTGAGCCAAGATCTTTACATTTATTATCTTCTATAATACACTCCACAGTTTTGTGAGTCAGAGAGTACTGTCCCGTGTTTATAATGAGAAATGGAGAGATAAGTAACTTGTCCAAGCTCACACACATAGTAAATTATGGAGAGCCAGGGCCAGTGTTTGTGATGCTACTCTACTTTCTACAAGTAACAGCCCAGATGGAGAGCAAGGAGGAAAGTTGTATTTAGGACCCAGGCCTCCTGACTGTCTCGTAGTAGGTTTCCTGTATCCTGTCTCATATGCTCTAAAATGGGCATAGTTACACAGCACGTGTTTATACACTGGCCTTTTATCTCGTAGGAATAAATTTACTTTTTTAGAAACTGCATCTCACTTTATTCTTACTTACTGTCTTGCGTTTGCATAGATCTTCCTCCTTTTTCAAAGAGCTTTCACATGTAAGACTAATTTGACACCTCCGGAATTTATTTCCTCTCAGGCCCAGGTATTTATATGCATCCTTCGAAACTGTGGGGGCTAGGAGAAGGGGATGAGGTCACAAAGGCAGACAAAGATCAACTTTAAGAAAGTAGCCAATTTACTCAATAGTACAAGCCAAAACAAAACTGATCCATGTAAACTGATGAGGCAATATCTCTGGGGTAAATGAGGCAGTTTCTTTCACATCTTGTCATTTCTAAACATGGCTCCTCACTAAATAATGTGAGGCTAAGAAACAGATTCTGTAGATTTCTTGGAATTGATAATGTTCAGTATCGTTGTCAATACCCTCCAGAATAATTTGATGTTGAAGTAGTGGGAGGGAAAAGGTATTTTTTGAGCACTTGTAAACACATTGCTTTTCTTCTGCAATACCATCCATATAGGTATTTTGTCCATTCCACAGATGAGAAAACATTTCAGAGATGAATTTTAAAAAGGCCAAAAACAGCTAGATAAGTAGCAGAGCTGAAGTTTTAATCAAAGGCAGCGTGCTATAAAAATCCAAGTTCTTTCTTCCACACATGCAAACTGGTAAATATAGAAAGAACAATGAATATCTGAAAATTGAAGTTTTCTACTATGCCAATTTTCTCAGGAGCTTCAGTTCAGTTTTCCATCTCAGAAAGTGGAAGTTAATACGTAAGTGAGAACAGAAACCTTGCAACAACATTACTGCCTGAAAGGTGCAAGACAGCTATGGCCGCATTGCAACAGGACTGGTGAATAGGAAGGGCAAGAGAGCCTGGATGAGAAAAGTTTTTAGCCATAAAACAGTGCTCCGTCTGGACCCACGGCGGGAAGATCGGTCCAGCGCTGTGGCTTGGGCCATGTATGGTGTCCACTTAACCGCTTCATTTCACCCCCCCTCCCCCCCCTAGTTTCTATGTTAATGAAAGAATAATGATGTATAGATAACATTGTATGAGAGCTAGGTGCAATTTGAAAAAACCATCTGACGCAAATGCTTCCTTTGCAAGATGGGGAAAGTAAAACCAGAGAAGCTAAGTAGCTTTCTCAAGGTCACAAATCTAAACCCAGTCTCCCACATCTATTAGAAACACATCCTACTATGCCCTGGAAACAAAACACAGTATCTCCAAAGCATGAAATAAAAAAGTAAAAATCCCCCAAATTATTTCCCTTATAAGACTTTAGAAAATGGTATGTGAAGGTCACTAAAAGTTGATCATTTAATAAGAACCAGTAATGTACAAATATACACACACAAAGCCAAATTTTGGGGGGTGAAAAATATTTTAAAAAATGCCGAGGCAACCAGTGTTTGTTGTTAACACACAGCCCTGAGATTTTTCTTATTTTAATCTTATGGTCTAAAGTAGTACTAGAATATACATGTCAAAAAGATGCATATTACATGTTAGGCTATTCTGACTGAAAGCTATTTATCTTATATGAAACTGCTTTGCTCAAGAAATAAAGAAGAATGACTTCTATTTGTTGATAAGATGGTGAGTTCTGATGATTCGGCACCATGCTGCTGCATGCATGCTTATTTTTATCTATTCTCTACTCTGTGAATCATATCTCCTACAACCATGCTAAAGATTAAATGCACAACCTTCATGTACCTTGAAAGATAAAGACCTTGAATATATGGTTATATAAAACTAAGATATTATTAAAAACAAATGCATGTCACAGTCATAGGTTAAAAACAGGGGTGTGTGTGTGTGTGTGTGTGTGCGCGCGCGTGTGTGTGTAAGAACGGAGCATGCAAATTGGCCAGGATTTTATGTATGCATTTTATCTTGATCACTGAATACAGTCAGTTTGGGGAATGTCGATAAAATTCCTAATTTAAAACCTCAATGCTTCTTCGATCGGGAACTGGAAAGTTTTGCTTTACTAACCCTTCATTATAAAAATCAAGGAGAGTGGACACCTGTGTGAAGAACAAGAGTTAAAACTTTGAGAGGAAAGAGGAAAAACCACAAGCCACATGTGAGCCTTTAATGTATCTAAAGGGCCCAAGAGGACGGCGGAGTGGGAGAGGGACAAAAACAGAAATCGAATACTTAGAGCAAAGCAATTTTCCTTTTCTCTTAGGCCAAAATAGATAGCACTGTACCCACTCTGACCCTGAACATGTAAACTGGATTAACACTTTTTAGGTCACCGCTTGACAGGAGGTAAAGGTGTTTCTCCTACAAGCTGATAGAAGGGCTGGGTGAGTGGTGGTAGCGCTGATTACAGGATTACCTCTGGAGGAGGCTAACAACTTTGGGGTTCTGCAATCCCGTCAAGGCCAATACCGAGATGTTCTGAATTTGCTCCCGTGTTGCCTTAGAACTGAGCAGAATTAGGTCACTGGCTCCCTCAGCTGGGAATCTAGATGAGGTTAGAAGGAGAAGAAAAATTGGAGTGAGACTTGGCTTTTGAAGGAGCAAAAGAATTATTTGGTGCACATTAGGACTGCTCTCTTTCTCATCTGAATTTTAAAATGGTTTCTTTGCTTTGAATAAAGATTCCCAGTAAGAATAGAGAATGTGTGTGTGTGTGTGCGCGCGCGCGCGTGCGCGCGTGTGCATGTGTTTGTTGTTCATAAACACAACCTTCAGGACCCCTTTGCTTGCTAATAAATGCTTCTTGCAAATAATCAGAGTTAACTGCTATTCATAGTAAATATTTTCTCTTTATTCTGAACTTGTTCCTCTTTTCCCACATTTAGAGGCCCTTTGATGTGTCTTAAAAGTGTGATGAGAATGTGTACTATTGTCCTCAGGGAAAATGGGTGATGGAAATAGCTTGTTCTCCGTATAAGCACAGGAATAATTACATTTTAAATTGCAGGGAAAAGATAAAAAAAAAAAAACAACTTAGTAACTGAATAAGCAAACTGTCCTAGAAGCTGTGTATCATATATTTTAGATAACTGCAACCTCTGTTGGCAGTGCTCAGTGAAGAGGAAAGGGGGAAGGGTGGGTTGTGCGCCAGGCTGTTGGCACCAGCTGTGGTCACAGCAGCTCCACATTGCTCAACTATCCCCAGTTGTGCCTTCCTGCCTGCCTACGTGCCCAAAACGACGCAGAGCAAGAGGCAAGTCCCAGCCAGGAGCCTGGAACATGAGCTGCCGGCAGGGGAGTTTGTAGTTAATGCCAAGCAGCAGTCCAGCAGTCAGTCTGACAGCGTGCCAGGGTAGCCTGGTGCCCTAGCCCCTGACATGCATGCCTGGTGTTTCCAACCCACCTGCTGTATGATTTGAATCTAGACTCAAGAAAGGTATAGCTTTTCAGAAATACAGGTTAACCATCCACATATACACAGTAGAGAAGGCACATGGGCATCTCTGACTTTTATGTATTTATAAATATATTTAATATATATTTCTAGTTATAGCTGTTTAGCTTTATGCAATTCAATTTCTTCAGATTTCTTGTTGGTTTTACCACCTCCCCCCAAAGATTTAATTTATGATTGATGCCATATTCCATATAATAAAAAAACAATAAAATGAAATGTAAACATTTTTGGTCTTCTATCAGAGAACAGTGCCCAGAGGAGAGAGTCCATAGAATTTTCACCTCAGTCACCTAAGGCACTTGTAATGTACTTGTTTTTATATTGCACTATGATTGTATACTAGGCATGACTTTGTATGATTACCCTGGTCAAAGAAGACAGAATCCTCTAATACCGTATGC